TATATTGACAGAGAACTTACAGAAATGCAAACTGCATTCAGAACAGGATGTGAAACAAGGGATATCACTGATGCTGTCAGATAGATCTTGGCTGAAACCAAAGAATACCAGGAAGATGTTTACCAGTGTTTCATTGACTATGCAAAAGCATTCAACTGGGTGGATCATAACAAATTATGGCTAACATTGAGAAGAATGGGAATTCCAGAAGACTTAATTGTACTCATTAGGAAACTGTACCTAGACCAGGAGGCTGTTGTTTGAACAGAACAAGGGGCTACTGCATGGTTTAAATCAGGAAGGGAGTGTATCAGGGTTGTATCCTTTCACCATACTTATTCGGTCTGTATGTTGAGCAAATAATCCGAGAAGGTGGACTATATGAAGAAGAATACAGCAACAGGATGGTGGAAGACTCATTAACAACCTGCAATATGCAGACAACACAACCTTGATTGCTGAGAGTAAAGATGACTTGAAGCACTTACTGATGAAAATTAAAGACTACAGTCTGCAGTATGGATTACATCCCAACATAAAGAAAATGAAAATCCTCACAAGTAGACCAATAAGCAGCATCACAATAAATGGAGAAAAGACTGAAGTTGTTAAAGATTTCATACTACTTGGTTCCACAATTAACATCAATGGAAGCAGCAATCAAGACATCAGATGATGTATTGCACTGGGCAAACCTGCTGCAAAAGACCTGTTTAAAGTGTTGAAGAGCAAAGATGTCTCTTTGAAGGCTAAGGTGCACCTAACCCAAGCCATGGTATTTTCAATCACCTCATATGCATGTGAGAGCTGGACAATGAACAAGAAAGACCAAAGAAGAGTGGATGCTTTTGAGTTGGGGTGTTGGCTTAGAATGCTGAAAGTACTATGGACTGCCAAAAGAACTAACAAATCTGACCTGGAATAAGTGCAGCTGGAATGCTTCTTGGAAGCAAGAATGGCCAGGCTTCATCTCACCTATTTTGGTCATGTTGTCAGAAGGAACCATTCCTTGGAGAAGGATATCATGCTTGGTAAAGTGGAGGGTCATTGAAAAAGGGGAAGGCCCTCAACAAGATGGATTGACACGTGGCTACAACGATTGGTTCGTGTGTGGCAAGGATTATGAGGTTGGCACAGGACCAGGCAGTATTTCATTCTGTTGTACATAAGGCCGCTATTAGTCGGAGCCATCTCGATGGCCCCTAACAAGAACAACATCTCCCCATGAGCAGCATAGACCTCAAACTTGCCATTGCTCTAAACAATGCTATATCTTCCCTCACAGTCCCTGTAAATTTTTTTCTAAGCTATCTGTGTTCAGGAATGGAATTCCTGAGTCATAGGGTAAATGCATAATTAATTTCACAAGATTCTTCCAGATCGTTCTCCAAATTGTTTGTACCTGTTTAGTCTCCCACCGTAGTACCACATCTTTCTATAGTTGCCTTTCTCATGGATATAAAATGATGTATTAGCATTGTTTTATTTTGTATGTGTCTGATTACCAAGAAATTTGAGCATTTCTTCATCTATTTGCTAACCATTCATTTATCCAACCAAAAATTACTGTGAGTGCCTATTATGTGCCAGGCATTGTTTTAGGCACTGGGAAAAGAGTATCCCTTGTCCAGATTTATACTGGATTTCAAATCTTCATGTCTTTTTGTTGCCAATTTGTATGAGTTCATTGTATATCTAAATATTAGTTTATTGTCAGTTTTAGACAATGCAAATATCTCCTCCCAGTCAGAGTTGATTTGCTAACTTTGTCTATGGCATTCTTCACTGACCAGATAGCCTTACTTTGATGACATCAAATATTATTATTATTTTGGTCTTCTGGTTTATGCAATATCACAATGATCTCTCCTGTATTTGTATTATAGTTATACCAGTTACATTTGTGACTTTAGTCCATCGGGAGTCTGTTATTTTATATGGCATAAAGTAATTTCTCTCCACATACTGAGTTAGTTTTCCAAATACAGATTTTCCTTTCCAAAAGGTTTCATCATTTTGCATTAGGGATCTCAACCTTGAGTCTATTCTGGAACTAAGATGAGTCAGAGGTTTGCAAGCAGATGCAGTTAGAAAATGTCTCTGTGAAATCTGAAGCTGGACAGATACCCATGTGACGGCTGCAGAAAGGTTTTATTTGTGTCTAATGCTATGTGGAGTAACAGGAGCCAGAGGTTTGACAGCAGCAGACAGGTGCTAGTGATGATAAGTACATTTCCCTGAGGAGGTGAGGGCTTGTAGTGAGAGGAATTATAAACCAAGAACAAGTCTGAATTCACCATAAATGTTGGAATATTACCAGCAGGGTTCTCTGGTGTCACACATCAAAATTTGCACATTCGTTTCTAAAATGTCTGCTTTGAAATTTGGATATGGGTTAACATTCCTTAGAATTCAATGTAGCTAGAGGTTCAAAGCATGGGTCTTGGGTCAGAACACTAGGTTCAAATGTCAGCTCTGTCACATGTCATCTATACGACCTTGGGCAAGTTACTAACTTCTCTCAGGGTCTTACATGAGATAATCCTTAAGAAAGTCTATTAGATGGCAGGCTTGGTATTACAGAGAATACAAAGAATGAGCAACTCTGGCCTTCAAGGAATTTATGATCTCACATGAAGAGGAAATAAATTATAGAAAGAGTAAACTTCTTATTTTGCCCAACAGAAGTTGGGCAAATACAATATGCATTCAGAGTTCAAAGAAAGGAATAACTGTATCAATGTAAGGCATAGAAGGTGGGGAGTGGGAGTTGGGGATGGGGAAAAGTTTAATGGGAAGAAGTGGCTCTTTAGAAATTTTTTGGCCAATGGGTAAAGGGTACAGTTTGGCTGAAGTGCAGATAAACGGTGAGAGAAAGGCACCTGGAGAGGTGGTTGAGGCTGTGTTACAGGAGAACTTGGAGGCTAAAATGAGGGTTGAATTTAATCTGGTAGCAGAGGAAATACAATACTCAGGACTTTATTTTAAGAAGATTAAATTAGTAATGATTGTTGAGTGGATCAGAACCCAGAGAGCATGGAGGCACTGAGATGACTCAGAAAGTATTACAGTTTTCTGGAAAGAGGTAGGTGGGGTCTGAATGAGGTGAGGGCCCTGGAAATGACAAGGAAGGGAGCAGTACAAGAGGCCTGCAAGTAAAGAACCAACACTCAGTGAGGGAGTGGTCTCTCTGTTGGTGACCTCTGCTCTTGGTGGCAATTTCCTACCTGCTCTGCATGCCTGGAATCCCCAGGTGATGCAAATGGTTAGCACTCCTGGCGTTCATTGAAATGTTGAAGATTCATGTCCACCCAGAGGTGCCTAGGAGGAAGGCCTGGTGACCCACCTCCACAAACCGGTCATTGAAAACCCTACGGAGCATAGCTCTCCTCTAACACACATGGAGTCACCATGAGTCAGAGATGACTGGAGGGCAACTGGTTTGATTTTTTGCATTCATCACTCAGGAGGAGATGCCGAACAGGTAGTAGAACAGGTGGTAGTCCCATCGGCCTTATGGTTGTAGGGGTTGTGGCCAGCACCAAGGTACACACAACTGAAACCTAGCCAGTGCTCCAGTAACTCAGCTGGTTGAGTCTTACAGGTCAGCGACTGCCCTCAACTCAGAGCAGTGGGCCAGTTTTAATGATTTGTCCTATCAGAGGGAGCCATTTTGGTAATTATTCCAAGGTGAATATTTGCCAGCTTGGCCTCAGCAGCTGGATATGGGAGTGTGGAGTTGAAAGGAAAAGACAGGTCTGCAGGCATAAACATGACGGTTATCAGTAAGTGTGTAAAAACCATCTGATAAGCAGGAGTATGAACTTAGAAAGCAATGTGTGTGATTCTTAGCTCCCAGGTTTTTGTGAAGATGAAATTAAATACACAAAGCACCTGGCACATTGTTGTTAGTTGCTGATGAGTTAATTCTGACTCATAGCGACCCCATGTGTTCAAAGTAGAACTGTTCCATAGAGTTTTCAAGGCTGTGACCTTTTGGAAGCAAATTGCTTCCAAAGCAGATCGCCAGGTCTGTCGTCCTCAGCACCTCTGGATGGGTTTAAACCACTACCTTTCGGCGAGTAGCCCATCCCTTAACCCTTTGGGCCACCCAGGGACTTACCTGGTCCGTAGGCACTTAACAAAGGGTTGCTATTTTTATTAATAAACTTATCGGTAAGAGCTTGTCCCAGGGCAACATCCAGGTAGGAGCATGTGCACTTTGCAGCAACTATACACCCTGAGAAGTTGAGGAAGAGGTAACTACTAGATGTGGTTGAGATGATTACATTTATAGATGGCTGGGTTCTCACTCCAACACTTTCATTTTAAAAAACAGGGAGGCAGGGGCTTGGAGGCTTAGCGTAGTTAACTGACCTCCCAAGCGAGCCTTTCTTACTGACTCCGTTTCCGGCACTGTGTCTGCTGTCCTCCCCGCCTACTCCACCCCACCCCGCCGCGCTATTTCTCCAACCTAGCCCCAGCACCTCACGTCACCGACGCAAATAAGCCTCTCCAGAATCCAAGTTCCTGAAAGCCCTTGGCCTCCAGCTGGCCGCGCTGCCACTGAGTGTCAATGAGAATAAAGGCAGGGTTGAGCCTCCAGGGCAGCAGACGCAAAAGGAAGGGCCGTGGGATATGACCTGGTTGCGCGCGGTGGCTGGGCGTACTTGGGCGCTTTACGCGCGTGGGACGCACGTGGTACAGGGCACTAGCGTCCCCCGGCACTGGAGACAGGCGGACTCCCAAATGTAAACTGTTGAAAAAGGAGGGCTCTCTAGTCTGGGCTGGGGCTGAAGCCCAGGGTTGCAGCCCTGGGCGGGGCTGGGGCGGGACTGAGAAAGTTGAGTTTTAGTTGCCGAGGGCTGGGCTCCGCGCGGGAGCGCCAGCCGACCGGGACCGTAAAAGGCTGGAGCGGGAGGGGTAGGTGTGGCTCTGTCTGCGTGACCTGAGCCCTCGTCCCGGTCGCTGTCGTCTCCTGCAGCTGCAGCCTCTCAGCCATGGGCACCGTCTGGTCCGCCCTGCTGGTCGGAGGCGGTCTGGCCGGGGCGCTTTTCGTTTGGCTGCTGCAGAGCGGTCCTGGGGACACGGGGAATGATGGGGACGCGGAGCTGAAGGACTCCCCTCCCGGGGAGACTGCGGCTCCCGGAGGCGATCAGGGTGGCGGCGGGAGACTGAGTCCTGGACCTTCCGGGCGGGAGCTGGTCACCAAACCAGGTATTCGTCTTCCCCGTGTCTCGAGGGCCGCTCTGCTAGGGGGTTTCTGAATTCTAAATTCACCAAGGAAGATGGGGGGGCGGGGGAAACACCTCGACCTTTCCTAGCGGCTTAGTCCCGGTGGACTAGCTTTCCCCTCCGGAGGCAAGACCCTTCCCATCCGCCGCCCCCCCCCTTGTGCCCAGGCTGGTACGAACAAGCCGGGCAGCCTTCTTGTCCTCCAGGGAGGCCAGGGAGATGCCCAGACCGAGCCCTCCGAGGGCCGCGCCCTGCTGAGTCTCAGTCCCTGGCGTCAGCGCTTGAGGATCTGCCCTTGTCTCTCCAGCAGGGATGGCCTCCTCCGCCTGGTGGCGCTTGGTGCAGTGCGGGAGGCTGCAGCGGAGGCGCCCCTTCCCGGGCCTGCGGAAAGGAGGACTGGAGGGATCCTACAACCCTCTTCAACCTGAACCTGGCTGAGCAGGGACATTTTTTGCGTTCCAATCGATTTGTGAATATCCGAGGTGTGGGCTTTCTAGACAGTTCTGTCAGGGAGGCAAAGTTCAGTTTGGACTCTGGCCATGATGGCCGCGGTTTAAGCCCTGGAGCTGTGCTCTGGACACTCATTCCAGAACTTCGGTTGCCCACTCCCACGCCACCCTCACAAAACAGCACGGAGCAGAGTAATCCTGGAGGAAAAGAAGTGCAGGTCTACTTTGGTACTTAATGGAACTCCAGCTCCGATGAGTAGAATTGACATCTAGGTTTAAACTCTAAATTTTATATTGTATGCTAGGCATACAGATTAACATATTTTTGCACTGGCAAAAAAAATCTTACCTTCCGGTGCCCTCCCTTGACAAGCTGCCCAGGCTGGATTTCAGCCTAATGGTGAAAATTACATCTGTGAACTTTATTTTCAGTGGGGTGTTCACGTGTACCTTTAGTGCGATTAGTTTGATGAGCACAGAGGTCGTTTATCTTCTTTTTTTGAAGGCCAGCCTCATGTTTTAGGTTGAAAAATTGGGAGTTCAGAGTAATATTTCTTCACCTCTCACTTCCAACCCTACTATTAAAAAGAAACAGGACTGCCCTCTACCCCCCTCCCCCTCCCCCACCCCCCACAAACAAACCAACCAAAATACCCCCACCTGTGCTGATTGTGGCACAGTGCCTAAGGCACTTGACTGCTAATCAGAAGGCTGGGCGTTCAAACCCACAAGCCGCTCCTCTGAAGGAAGGTTGGGCAATCTACTTCCGTAGAGATACTGCCTCAGAAACCCAAGGAGGGGTCGCTATGAGTTGGATCTGACTCTGCGTCAGTGAGTTTGGTTTGGTTTTTGTGCTGATTGTATGGTTATTGGAGATTTGACAATCCAGGGAGATATTTGGACTACCAAAGAGGTGACCAAGAAGGGACCTGAGTCTTCAGGGGCCTTAGATTGTATGCTTTTTGAGAACATTAAAGCGGGGGGGGGGGGTGAAGTTGGTACAGTTGGAAGGGATGGAAAAAGCTTTCCATTGTTTTAAAGAGGTTATTGATGCATGCAGGATTGCCAGGGAGAAACCAGCCCTCCCACCACCCTAACTCCCACTTTGGCCTGTGATACACTGCTGTCTTTTGTGTGTTCCCCCCCCCCCATAAGGACCCAAACTCACTAAACAATAGCTGCTGTTAATCTGGCTGCACCAAGCAAGAGATGGCCTGCACTCGTTTTCTGGGGGTGCAAGTGTACTCTTCTAGTTTGCAGGGTGGCCATGCAGCCTTTGACCCACAGGCTGGGCAACACTTTTGATGATTAGAGCCAAGCAAATTGGCTTTGGTTGAATGCCAGTAGAGGTGGACTGCTGGGCTTGAGGGCCAGGACAGGATTATACTTCTACAAGTTACCACTTCATTTACATGTTTGTGCTGGTACACAAACACCCTTCAATGAGCCTTTCATTTGGATATACATGTATATTCTTAACGTACTATGTTGGGAACACACTAAATAATGAAGTGCTTGATTTTAATAGAGAGGGATTTTATGAACTGCAGATAGAAGTGAGGTCTTCAATAAATAAATCTATTTTCTCAGATTAACATATTTTTTTTTCTCACAGTGACCTAACACTATTATGGTTTTCCTTTACTTTCTTAGAGCATCTTCAAGAAAGCAATGGATGTTTGATTTCAGAGACCAAAGGCCATGGTAACCTGCAGGAAGCAGCATGGAGACGGCAGAGCCCTTCTGGAGAAGACGGTGACTGTGACCATTCAAGCGAGCATGCCCCTCCTGGACAGTCTCCAGACACAAAAGCTCTAGCTCCCTCTGAAACTGGCCCCTCTAGGGGTTACTCCGAAGTTTCAAGGGAATGGGGATTCCAAAAAGGACAAGAGACACCTGCTAAGGCAGCTGCCTGTTTTGCAGAGAAGCTGCCTTCTGGCAACATGCTAATGGACAGAACTAAAGAAGCAAGACTTCCACAATCGGACAGTTCAGACCTGGCTAACCAGGGGGATTGGGAAATGGTGTCCAGGCATTCATCTTGGGGAGATGTTGGTTTGGGTGGTAGTCTTGAGGGTCTAGTGTCAAGCCCAAGCCAGGGAATGGACTATGGCAAAAGTATTCCTGCAGAAGCAAGAGGTCAAGAAGTACAAGTGAAAACAAAAAAGGTAGCAGCAGTGTTTCCAGCATCTCAGCAAGTTAGTGTCAGGTTCCAAGTCCACTATATCACAAGTACTGGTGAGCAACTCATTGCAGTAACTGGAGACCATGAGTGTCTTGGGAGATGGAATACGTACATCCCACTCGAGTATAGCAAGGATGGGTTCTGGTCTCATTCTGTTTCCCTGCCAGTCAATACAGTGGTGCAGTGGAAGTTTGTGGTGGTAGAGAATGGGAAGGTAACCCGCTGGGAAGAATGCAGCAATAGATTCCTAGAGACTGGCCATGAGGATAAAGTGGTTCAAGCGTGGTGGGGGATTCATTGATTCAAGTTGCAAGGTATTGGAAACTGTTGTGGAACAGGAAAGAGACTAAGGTTGTGGAGCACACTGGATAGTTTAAAATAAAGGAAACATGACTCCAAATTTAGTCATTAGAGTTGTATCAAATTTGCTAGTAGCTTTTGTTTAATGTGCGGAAATAAATATATGTAGAAAGTATACGGCTGCTAACCAAAAGCTTGGTGGTTTGAACCCACTAGCTGCTCTGTGGGAAAAAGAGGCAGTCTGTTTCCACAAAGATTTATAGCCTTGGAAACCCTATGGGGACAGTTCTACTGTGCATAGAGTCACTGTGAGTCTTAAATGACTCAATGGCAGTGGGTTTAGATGATGCTTCCAATGAACATGCACTTTTTTTCCAGTGTGTTGATTGATGGCTCTGCTGGTCTATCACTGTTTTAGAGCTTGATCCTCTTGGTGAGTGTGACTTGACTAAGCTTTAGGGTGAGATTGTGGTCATGAAGCACAGAAACTAACCAATTTCATAGGGTTCCAGCTTGTGTCTCTGAGTAAGCCTTAAGCCAAGGGAGTAAAACATGCCTTATCCAAAGATCATCAGATTTCCTATTGGTACAGCTGCAGAAATAATCTTTACTATATTCACATTTTATATTTTAAAATAGTTAATACTTATGGGACTGTGATCATAGAATACCTGGTCCCAGATGTGATTAGCAAGGATATGAAGTAATGCTTTGAGACTCCTCAATGTTTTTTTTTTTTGCTCGATTTTACCTACCAGGTATGATTGTGAGATCAGCAAATACCATATTTTTATGCAAGTAACACATGTTACATGGTTTTTGCTATGCGTGTTATATGCATGGGTACATTATATGCAAGAAAAAAAATACAGTATTGCCTTTGTCTTAATACTCTCAGGCTGGTGTAGAAACAAGGGGCCTAATCAGAATTAGTCATCAGGAACACTCTGAGAAAAGGGAACATGAATGGGGTAGAGGATGGGCTGAGTGAGGTGGCCTGAAGATACCTCTTAGAGGACTGGGAGGTACAGTTAGAGCCTAGACCCCAGGGAAGGACCTTCATCATGTATACATGGGGCCTCTGTAGGAGCATCTCTCTCCACCACCTGCCTTTCAGACCAGAGCTGGACGGACGATCAGATGCACTGTCCTATGTGTTGTTTCCATCCTTGGCCCTCCTCCCTCTGCTCTCATACCAACAGCCATCTTGGATGACAAATTTATACAGGACAGTAACACAGAAGTACATCTTTGAGAAGAAATAAACATTCAAACTTAGAGTTATTATAACTGAGCAAGTAATAAAACCTGAATATTAATATCTTTACTAAATGTCTGAATTATTTGCCTACATCTTGGTACCATATAATAGCTTAGATGTGAAATAAAATACTAATATTTCCCTCCACTAATAACACATTTAGAGAAAAGCAAACATCAAGAGGCATAAAAGAAGATATATGAAGAGTCTGTTTTTCTCCTTCTTTTGGAGAAAAAGTTAGAATATATTTACGAAAACAAACCAACCAACCAACAAACAAAAAACTTTACTTGGAGAGAAATTCAGCATGCTTATACTTGAAAATGAATTCTTACAAAAGTTAAAACAACTTTTAATAAGTGTAACTTATACTGGCAAAACAATATTTAATCCTGGTAACAAACACTCTTTGCCAAAAGAGCGTAAACTCAACTGAAAATAGAATTGTTCCAAGTTAGGGTGACTCTATAGGATACAGTAGAAGTGCCCCATAAAGTTTCCAAGGCTGTAAATCTTTATGAAGGCAAACTGCCTCATTTCTTTCCTGCAGAGCAGCTGGTGGGTTCAAACTGCCAAACTTTTTGTTAGCAGCTGAATACCTTGACCACTGCACCACCAGAGCTCCATGGGAGAACATAAGTGCTTATTAAATAATACTTCTGAAACTGAAAATGCCACATTTGGAAATGCCACATCCATTGGTGAGAACTGGTCAGGTGGCATTTATTAAGGAGCTCTGGTGGTGTAATGGATAAGGCATTTGGCTGCTAACCAGAAAATCAGCGGTTGAAACCCACCAGTTGCTGTGAGCAGATGTGAGGGAGGTGAAGTTGGGAAACAGAGTTCCTAGCTGGGCAGCTGTTTCTCAGTGACAATTCTATACTATGAAAATGGAGCACAATTTTTCTGAACAGCCAGCTATCTGCCACATTGTCTCTGGTATTTTGGGCACAAGTGAAATATTTTTATATCTGTTCTTCTTGTCTCATTCTATTTGGTTCACATACAAAATCTCCTAATTTAAATATATCCAGAGTAGGCAAATCCATAGAGACAGAAAAGAGATTTGTGGTTAACAGGATAGGGACAGGGAAATGGGTTGTGATTACTTAATGGTGCCGAGTGTTTTTGCAGGGTGACAAAAAAGTTTTGAAACTAGAGAGAGGTTGTAGTGGCACAACATTGTGAATACACTAAATGCCAAGTGAAATATACATTTGAAAATGGTTAATTATGTTATATGAATTTCAGCTCAATTTTTTTGAAATTCTAATACTAAAATCCAATCAAGGCAGACTAAATGTATTCCATCTGTGGAAATTAACTACTTGCTGAAGAGTAATTAGAGAACCTTTTCTGAAACTTTTGCTTATGGGCCTTCAGGTTTTGTTATCTGACTGCCTTCACTGATATTGACAGAACAAACAGTGAGTTCAGGGTCACGAAAGGAGTCCCTGTTAGTACTTTCATCCTCCTGTCCTGGGCATTGTACCATAACTTTCATTTTCATGTCCCTCACCCCGAAGATTTTTCTTTAGTTGTGTTTTTTGGCTGGAAAAAAAAAAGATTGCATTCTGTATTTCAGAAGCAGTACAGACAATGAAAATACACAGTAATTCCAACATACTTGTCTTAACAGCACAAATTGATACCTTATAATATATAAACCAAGGAGCTCTGGCAGCACAGTGTCTAAGGCACTGCTAACCAGAAGGTTGATGGTTCAAACCCACCAGCCACTCTGAGGAAGCAAGACTGGGCAATCTACTTCTGTAAAGATTTACTGCCTTGGAAACCCAATGGAAGTCAGTATGAGTTGGAATCGACTCAATGGCAGTAGGTTATTTATTTATTTATTTAGTAATATATCAACTAAAGCACCCTGGTGCCATAGTGGGTAAGGAAATTGGCTGCTAAGCAGAAGGTAGGTGGTTGAAACTCATCAGCTGTTCCTCAGGACGATGAGGCAATCTACTTCCATAAAGATTTACAGACTTGGAAACCAGTTGGGGTTGCTATGAGTAGTTATTTAACAAGCACTTGCTATCAACTTGATGGCAGTAGGTTTGGTTTTTTTGCTTGTTTTTTTTTTTTTTTTTTTTGTGGTTTAATATATAAACTCATTACCATTGTATTTAGTTTCATTCATAGCAACCCTAAGCTATGAGTTTCCAAGGCAGAGTAGAACTGTCCCTATAGTTTCCAAGGCTGTAATCCTTACAGTAGTAGACTGCCTCATCTTTCTCCCAGAGAGCTGCTGGTGGGTTTGAACTGCTGACCTTTCAGTTCCCATCCAAGTGCTTTAACCACTGTGCCACCGGAGCTCGTTCTTATAATATATGGATACTTAAAAATCTAGCTTTTATAGTTTGATATTTTACTGTGAGAGCATTCAAGAATAGTTTGGTTCAAAATAGAATTTTGATATCTTTTATTAAACTTTTACAAAAAAAGAAAAAAATAGTACACAGGGCACTAATTACAAGTAACACCACAATTAATTGGGCATGGACCCTCTGTAAAGAATAGGCAAACAGTGTATCATTTTAGTAACATTTTTTCCTGGTCTTTCACTTTCTGTATCCTCTTTTCTTGATTTCTGATCATTGAAGACATTGCTGAAAATGGTGATAAAACAAAGTTAGAACAACACACTCTACCCAGGTTTTAAATTCTATTAAGTGCTTCTTAAAAGGTCAGTGTGTTCCTATAGAATAGATACATTCTGAGCTTAAGACATTATTGAAAATGGCAACGTTGAGTATTTTTTAAAGGCTGGTGTGGAGCAGATGTAAGGATAATCTTTATTCCTTCAGTTGTTCTCAAAGAGCACAATAGTAAGTATTCTAATACTTAGAAGGGTTGTTCTTAGATAACATCAAGTTGATTTTGACTTCCAGTCATTTCATACGACAGAGTAGAACAGTCCCATAGCATTTCCTTGGCTGTTCTTTATGGGAATGGACTGCCAAGTCTTTCTCTGGAGGAGCTCCTGGTGGATTTGAACTGCTGACTTTTTGGTTAGCAGCCCAGTGTTAACCATTGCGTCACCGCAGTTCCTTATAGAAGTAATAAATAATAACTGTAAATAATACAAACATTTCAGAAGTGGAAGTCTTTCTGTTCCCTCAGTTAGCTAACTGCCCCTCTGAGCTCATTATTGTGAACAGTGTGGTTTACAGTAATTAAACATGCATGTGCACAAACCTGGCACTCCCTGCCACACACAGAGTTTTCTTCTTTATACACATGGAAATGTGAGGTATAAATTGTTCTGGAGCTTGCTTTTTTTCCCTCTTAACCAAATTTCAATATTCTTCCAGTTCAACTCTTGTATTTTTTATGATGGCACAGTATTTCATGATTTGAATGTACTAACATGTTAGTAAATAAAAATTTTAAGAAGTTGTTTCCTATGTTTCTCCTTTATAAAATAATGTTGTAGTAAATACTTTCATACAGAGATTTTTGTACATTAGCACACCCATTCCTGTAGAATAAATTGTTAGAAAGAGAATTTCTGGGTCAAGAAGTATGTGCACTTTAAATTTTGGTAAATGTGTTAAAAAAACTTTCTCTAAAAGTATGTATGTCAGAATGTCTATGAAACATTCCATCCAATAAAAAGATCTTTTTATTTTTAAAATAAATACATGTTTTCCACTTAGATTGTTACATGGTGACATTAACCAAATGAATTGTTGTTGTTGTTGTTGTTATGTGCCGTCGAGTCGGCCCCG